ACACATATATATATATATATATATATATATACTGTATATATATATATATATGTATATATACTGTATACTGTATATATATGTATATATACTGTATATATTAAAAATATATAAATGTATATGTATGTATATGTAAATATAGAGGCAAAAGAAAAACCTTTTACCACAAAGCTAAGATAAATTCAGTCATAATCTGATATCACTCCAATCCGCTCATGCTGAAAGATTAATTTAAATTTAAGGATTGTTTTTGCATCATCACAGAACCGTTGGATTTCAGTCTACACAATCTAAGAGTACAATGTGAAAAAACGTCAGTCGGAATGGTGGCTAAACACTTTTTATCTTTGCTCTTGAACAAAGAAAAGTTACTTCTACAGGTTTCAACCAGACGGTATTGTACCTTATAACCACAGAACACAGCAGGTTGTCGCACTCGCTTGTTCAACAATTAAACTCCATAAACCCTGTTACTAAACGCGGCTTTATGACGTCTTTCAGTGGATGAAGGTGTCAACAATATGTGGGCACAGGGAAGGACTTCTGGATTATCAGTTTATGATTATGCACCCTATGAAAAATGAGTTTCAATAGACAAAGCAAATTATCAAACTCCATGGACTGCCAGATTAACTGAAATAATTCAGACACATTTAACCTGTAATGTACATGACAAATAAAGGAAATTATTATTATAAAATATTTCAGTTCATCCAGTTGAGGCTGTGGTAAGTTAAAGTCCTTTGATTATGTGAAAACACTGAGGCCTGGTTTGAGAGAGGGGATCACAATAATTAACATAAATTTCAAACATTGCTTCAAAAGTGTCTTTGACCAGCAGAGATCATTTTTCCTGATGTTGCTTCATGGCATGTGTTGTAATAAATAACTTAAATCTGTTGATGGAAAACACAAACCATACTGTGAGTCCCAGCTCAGACCCAGGGACTCAGGGACACTCCAGACAGGTCTCCAGTCCATCACAGGGACACATGGAGACAAACGAGACAAGCAACCATTCACTCTCTCACTCACACCTAGAGACAATTTAGTCAAAGTCAAAGGCTCGTCATTTGTCATTCGCACCACATGTGGCACATCAGGTGGAACGAGATTGTGTACAAAGGGTCCCAGTTAGAATTACCAGTCAGCCTAACATGAATGTTTTTGCTCTGTGGGAGGAAACCAGAGTACCCGGAGAAAACACTCATGCTCGGGGAGAACATGCAAACTGCACCCAGAAAGGCTAAGGGGCAAACCTGTGACCTTCTCACTGAGAGGCAACAGCCCTAACCACTGCATTACTGTGTCATTCACAAGGTCAAAGGTCAAAATATACCAGCTTTAATCGTCCATTCACACAGAAAACAAAACGTGCATCAGTGAAATTGTATTTCTTTTCTTCTTCTAGACACCTACAGACTTCCAAAGGACTTCCAGCTGTTCCTCATCTGCGTGACACATGGGTGAAAAAAAAAAAAATCTACCTTTGAAAAAAACTACATTTTTAGACAGGTAGACACAACAGTTTGAATTCTGACTCCTGCTTCATTTGATCATGTCTTTTTCTTTTATCTCAGTTTTTTAAAATTTTTTATTATTATTATTAATTTCATGTTTTCATCTGTGCACTTTATTACATTTTATTTGATGTAACGTGCTTTGTAATGTGGGTTTATAAATAAAAATTAGCCTAATTATCATTTTAACTCTTTGAACAACCTATAATTGAAAACATTTTTTTTTATAAAAACGTATTAAATGCAGTTTGAACAAAACGTAATAAACTTTCCGAGACTTGAGTTGTTTTAAGACGGCAGGGGGTCACTTTAGTCCTGCTGCTGCTCTGACAGGGTCAAAGCTGTTCAAATGAACAATCTGCAACAAGCAACATATTAACTGTTCATTAACTTTGGACAGAAACCCACTTAAGAAGATCTGAACGGGCTCTAAAAATAACACGTGTGTTTGTATGATCCATTTTAATGTAACAAGCATAAAATATAAGACTGTTCTTCGTAAGACAAAAATTTTAATATTTCCTTTAAAGGTGCATGAACACAATTTAAATGTTTGCTTTCTCTGAAGTTTATATTTATATTGCAACCAATAAACCAACAGAAAGACTCTCTGTCAGCTCTAAACTCGTAAGGCCATGTCCACCATCATCTGTCATCAGTAGCTGAATGATTTGGTTACTCTAAGCTTTTCGTTAAACATTCACTTCTCTGTCATTTCTACTATTGCTGTCTTTAAAACCCAGGAGTGAAATGAACTCAGAAGAAATAAAACGGACTTCTTGTTCCTCCAAGCCAAAGGACGCATGCACTAATGAGGGAGTTCAGCTCGCTTCTGTCCGACCGTGCAGGTGCACACTGAGACTGAAGACGGAGCCGGCTTTGAGTCCAAAAAATGAAACAAAAGTGCACACATTGTCTCAAACATCCATCGCTCAGGAGAATCCGCTGGGTTTTGTTTTATTCCAGATGTGAGAAATGATCCAAGTGGTTGAAAACTCATTTTCCGAAAGAAACATTTAAAATGAAGGGATTCCATGTAGCTTTGTGTTCGTCTCCAAAATGATTCATCCTGTCTACTAAAGACTTGGCATTAACTGAACTCTGCACTTTCAAATACCAGTTTCTTGCTCCTCTTTCGAGTAAAAATGTCAACACACACAGAAAGACACTGCTGTAAAGGGTAGCTGGGCTGCTTGAGCCCAAATTCAGCTTCTTTTTTTTTGTCAAACCTCCAAAATCAAACAGTATTAGTCTTGTTTTCAAATCAACCCGTCCTCCAACTCAGGTTTCAAACGAGCGAGCCTGCTCTGCTCTGGGCGGGCACCATGACTGGCACCGCCCCCATTCGCTCCAGAGTCGCTTGGCTGACGGCATAGGAGTGCGTGTGGTGCCCAAGTGTGGATGTCACCACGGGTTTGAGGCCCACGGAGCCATTGCTGCGCACCATGGCTGGAGGGGACGGGGCAGAGTTTGTCGTGACCACCAGAGTCTTGGGTGGAGGAAGTGTATGGCTGCCATTGGCGAACGATGTTGTTGTTGTGGGCGGGGCATGGCGGGACAGAGGAGCGGAGCCCGGGGCTGTAACGGGCGGGCCGTGGCCTTGTGCAGGGTTCTGGCTGTGTCCGTGTGCAGCGGCAGCAGCTGTGAAGGTCTGACGAGTGTCTCCGTTGTAGCGCGTGTAGGAGTTGGTGTCGTAGTTGGTTTTGGGGTTGTGCCAGTAGCGACTGTTGTACGTGTTCGTAGATGTTAGCGTGTCGTTCTCCGACGAGGAGGCGTCCGCATGGAAAGCCTTCACCGATGAAGACCGCTTGGGGGGCAAATCATCTTCTCTGTCGGGGAGACAAATCAAGGTCAAGTCAGATAGATTAGTCATCATCAGCACTTTTATAATCCTAACATAAAAACATTTTTTAAAAACTCATCAACACTTTTATAATCCTAACATAAAAACATTTTTAAAAACTCAAACAAATCGAGAGTTTATCTTGACTCCGTATTTGTTTAATTGGTATATTTAAACCAGTTTGAAAGGTACTTTTCATTTTGTTCTTTGTGGCAAAGATGACAAATTTTGATATGCAATGATTTTTCCAGGCTTCTCATTTCCTTTAGATGAAATATCCTAATCGTGACATTCTGGTATGAAACAGCAGAACTGTGAGGGATGAAACTTTAAAGAAAAATATCTTTCAACCTAAAATGCTCTCTTTGGGTCGAAGGTGAGGTTCTGCCTCAAGTGGAGGAGTTCAAGTATCTCGGGGTTTGTTCACGAGTGAGGGAAGAATGGAGCGTTTGATTGACAGATGGACTGGTGAAGCATCTGCAGTATTGTGGACTCTGTACCGGTCCATTGTGGTGAAGAAGGAGCTGAGCTGTAAGGCAAAGCTCTCTTTACCGGTTGGTCTACGTTCTTACCCTCATCTATGTTCATGAACTCTGGTAAGGATGCTCCCTGAGCGCCTCCCTAGGGAGGTGCTTCGGGCATACCCAACTGGGAGGAGACCCCGGGAAAGACCCAGGACTTGCTGGAGAGACTATGTCTCTGGGTTGACCTGGGAATGCCTTGAAATCCTCCCAGAAGAGCTGGAAGAGGAGGATGTGGAGGGAGATGTCTGGACCTCCCTGCTCAAAGTGCTGCCTCCCAGACCTGACTTCAGAATAAGTGGGAAATAATGGATGGACGGATGGAACTTAAATTGATGTACTTGTCTAATAAAAAAAGCAGTTTGTATCATTAACAGTGCAGGTCACAGTGATCAGACAAACACTATTCTTACAGCTCCAAGTCCTACAATTTCCAGATCTGGTAAAGTTACAAACACCACAAAGTTTGTTCAGAGCTAAACATGATAACTTATCTGAAAATATTCAATATATCTTTCTTTTTCAAGAAGGAAGGTACAAATGTAAGTGTCTTTGTCAAGTGAAAGTGTGTGTGCTGTGAGGAAGAGTTGTGTGATTTTGTGAGCGGAGCTGAAGTGATGTTCAAACATAAAAAATGTTTTAAAAAAAGTAAAAAGCAATATTTTTTATGAAATTCAAAGATTAGTAAATAACATGAAGATACAGTCACTTGTATTTATAAATACTATCAGATTGTTGTTGTCATTGGTGGTTTTATTAATAATAAATCAGATAATAATTGATAACTAATGGTGAAAAGGATGGGATTAAATAAGTACATAATTCTTCCTACTCCTTTTGAACATCTGAGATAAACTAAAAGAGGAGCTTGCCACTTCTATTTATTCTAGGTTTTCATTTTTGTTTCTCTCTTATTTGCTTAAAATAACTGCATGTATATAATTAACATGTTCAAAAATAAATAAATAAAAAATAAATAAATAAACAAACAAATAAATAAATAAATAAATAAATAAATAAATAAATAAATAAATAAATAAAGTCAACAACATTGCAATTCAAGACATTGTATTTCATCCCAGACATCTAAAATGTGATTTTATGTCCAAGATGTTTTTTTGAATAATTTCAGGGTGGAATTGCAGTCCAGTAAACATCTGACAGAAGCTCAGACTGTCTGAAAAGATAAATTAGTTTGTGATGATGAAATAAATAGCTGCCAGGAGTTTAATTAGGGTCAGAGCTCCCAACTTGAAATCCAATTTACTGGCCAAGGCTTTCTGAGCCGAGGCTTTATGATGAGGACACCAACACATTGTACAATCGTGTCCTCTTGTTTGTGATTTTTAGAGAACACAGCAGTCCACATGTGTCACGACTTTACAGTTTTACATTCTGAGTTATCACAGTGAAAAGCTGCAGGGCATATACGCTACATAAAACGTATGCTCATAAAATGGACTATTGGTCTCAGTAAGACATGAAGGACTTATTGAAAACCGGCCTTCACTGTGTATTATAAAATATAAAAAGGTACTTTCTGTAATATGTTTTAATCAAAAAGTTAAATACAAAAATAAGTTTTATTCTGTTAAAACATATTTTTAAAATTGTTATTTAGTAATGATTAATTTGGCCCCGCTTAAATTATAGTCAGATAAAATGTGGGAATCTTTAAGCAGGTGATAATCAATAGATAATCAATCAATTTATAAAAGTGTCCTCACTTGACTTCACTCAAATTGTGAGTGAGGTCAGAACCAAACAGATTTAAACTCCTAAAGTTTCTGGCAATATTAATTAATAAATAATAATAATTCAGATGGAATGTTTAATCATAGTGGAGCAGCTTAAACAAGTTTTGCACAAAAATTGTGTAAAACGTGATACAAGCACCACATTTTTTTGCTCAATTTTGGCCAATCAGGAAGATTTGACCATCCATCCACCCCTTATACATTTGTAGTTACCCTCTTCTTCCTTTTGGGTTGTGGTGGTCACCGGTGCCCATATCCAACAGTCACTGTGTGAGAGTTGGGGGACACGCTGGACAGGTCTCCAGTCCATCACAGGGACACATAGAGACAAACAACCATTCACTCTCTCACTCACACCCAGAGACAATTCAGAGTTACCAGTCAGTCTAACATACATGGTTTTGGTCTGTTGGAGGAAACCGGAGTACCTGGAGAAAACCCACACATGCACAGAGAGAACATGCAAACTGCACCCATTAAGGCCCCCGGTCATGATTTGACCTTCTTGTTGCGAGGCAGCAGCTCTACCATCTGAGCCACCATATTGCCTGATTTGGTGAACACCTCGAAGGAAATCATCATACCAAATTTGGTGTTTGTATCATGGTTAGCAGGATTTTTCTTTAATTCTCTCTAATATAAGTCCAACCTGATTTCATTGGGGATCTCCTCCTCTTCGTATTTGTTCTTGTTCTTCCAGTAGAAAAGTGTGACCACCACTAACAGTGAGCAGATAATGACAGCGAGGATCCCTGTGGCGATTGTTCCTGCTATCAGACCAACACTCTGGGGCTGGGCTGCAACACAGAGACAAAATCATAAAAAAACAAGTGGTATGTTTGCAAAGTATAAATAAAACACAAGTACTTAAATGTCTCACTCACACAGGTCTGACCTTTAATAAATCAACAAGCCTTGAAATAAATTCAGCATTATTCTTCAGATTTAAATTTTTCAGAAATGTGGTGCTTTTCAAAGTGAACTGCTTCAGCATACTTCTACTGCTACATCCTTCTTTTATTGACCCTGATAAATCACCGAGCTGCTGGAGCACGATGCGTGGGCTATTCATATTCTGATTTCAGTCAAGTCAATGGGAGCTAGCCGCTCTGAGCCGCAGAGCATCCGATTCTTCAGCCTGCATGCACATAGAATTGCTTTTTCCCACCAAAGGTTTACTTGTGCACATCGCAAGTGTGTTTTCGGTTTTTACGTCCAAACTAAAAATAAATGTTGGATGAGATGAGAGGAAGAACTCTGCAGCAACGTTCAGCCGGGACATTGCCCTACCTCTTCTGGAGTAAGTTTAAGTCTATGTCAATACTTTTTTTACTTAAGTTCTCAAATATAAAAAGTGAAGCATCACCTAGTGAGCTAGTATAAAAATCTAAAGTATAGGGATAGAGGTAAAAAGACAACATTACTGAGAGGAATGCATTTTTTAATGATGTGAAAATTATGGGATTATAAATGCATTTATAATGGGATCTCCCTATGATGAATTACATCGCAAAGAACACTACGCATACGGTAATTGGACTGAACTTATAAAGCACTTTTCTGTCTTATCACGATACTCAAAGCTTCAACGTTCATGCTCAATCATCCAGGTACAAAATCCAATAATGCTCATTTAAGTCATCTGGACAGTTTCTTTTTTGTGGAAAGATGTTTCACCCTCTATCCAGAGGACTTCATCAGTCTGAGGAGTCCCAAGAAAACTGTTTTCCCCACTAAGCAGTACACTCCTTTAGTGGGCAACCAGTTTTGCATGTGATAAGATGGTTTCTGGGGGCTGTCCTGCCCCCTTCGACTCCTCCCAGCCAAAGTGGTTCAAGACATCAAAGTTCATGCTCAGTCATCCAGGTACAGAATGCAATAAGGCTCTGTCAGGTCACCTGGACGGTTTCTTTTTTTTGTGGAAAGACTTGGGACTCCTCAGACTGATGAAGCCCTCTGGATAGAGAGCAAAATGTGTTTCCACATAAAAGAAACTGTCCATATGACCTGACTGAACATTATTGGATACTCAAAGCTCTTTACACTACAATCTGTGCCATCCTTTACCCATTCATACAGCACTCTACTAAATCTATACAAAGAAAAGTCAGAGCTTTATCACATTCATACACCGATGGGACACACATCCGAGGCAATGAAGGGTTCAGTGTCTTGCCCAGGGACACTTGGGCATGTGACTGCTGCTGGATTTGAACCTCCAACTCTAGACGGCAGTAAAGTTACTGAGAGATAATGGGAATAATTTAAAAATATTCTGACAAAGTTAAAAACACACAAGGATTTTTAGGCTTTGTCAGGAACGGTTGTATTTATCACCAACACCAAACAATACATAAATTAAAAACACAAATAAAAACAAATGTGTGGTGGTTTGTTTCCCCATGAGACCTTCCAGGAGGAAAGAGAAGGAGCACTTCAACGAGTGCGAGCCAGGAAAAAAAGGCGAGTGTGTGACCAAAGAAAAAAATAGTCACTAAGGACAGATTTTTAGTCACACACAGCTGCCTTGGAGAGTCATTACCCACACAACCTCAGAGAGCTAACAGAACATGCAAGAGCTTCGTTTAAAAGTTTGGTGTACACCGGTGGATTCAAGCGTGTCTGACTGTTAGCAAGATCTCATGAAACACTTGGCAGATTGTAATCTAAGTCTAATAAATAATTCACTGGATGTGCATCTACAACTAAATAGTTCCTGAAGGCAACCTGACCTAAGATGGCCACTTTAGCTAACTGGCATTAGTCAACATAAATATGATGTTAAAAAAAAATCAAATATAGAGACACTGAGCTAGTGTTTGATGTGGTAGTGGCTATTATTTCGTCTTTTCTCTGTACCACTTTACAATAAGCCTCCACTTATAGATGGCTATAAATAGTTTATGTATATGTTATTAATTCCTCTATAAACACGTAATAATCATTAATAATAGTTTATTATGCATTAATTAATGGTGACAGAGAGACCAGTCTCTTGACAAATAGTGAGCCAATTCTGTTCACCTATATATTTCATGTTGAGTTGTTATATTAAACATGTCAGACTAAGTTACTACCTTGTAAGCACAATAAACATACTATTTATTTAGCATATAATATTCTACTTTATCAATGCATTATAAGCAGGGCTTAATTTGTAAATTGGTCCATGCCAGAATGCAAATAGCGGGCACCGCCCGTCGCTACTACCGATTGGATGGCTTGGTGAGGTCCTCGGATCGGCCCCATATATATATATCTATATATATATATATATATATATATATATATATATATATATATATATAT